TTGATAACTCTGTTGTCACACCTTCCCCTCAAGTTAAGAGCCCGGGTGTCATCGTTGACAGTACTCTCTGTTCCACAGCGCATATAAATAATATCACTCGTCTACTCATTTTCATCTTCACACTATTAATCGCCGTTGTCCTTCACTTACTCTAAACAGTACAGCCACACCTGTCAATGCTCTTAATTCTCTTCTCTATCGCCTACCTCATAAATATCTCCATAAATTGCACTTGGTTCAGAATTTAGCTGCTTGTATTATATCCAGAACTGGTGTTAACATTTAACACCAGTTCTAAAACAGCTCCATTGGCTTCAAGTTCACCTACATATCAATTTCAAGATCTTCCTTCTCACTTTCAAAGTCCTTCGTAACCTCACTCCTCCATCTTTATCGGATCTTCTCCATACATACTCACCTCTGTCTGTTCCATGTGCCACGGGTCGCAGAGCTTTTAGTTGTCCTGCGCCAAGACTTCACCAGATCACCAGATCTCCACACTACAAATTCTCTTTCTACTCTTAAATCAGGTCTGAAAACCCATCTGTTCAGAACTCATGCTGTCACTATAACTTGGTATTTTGTTACCTGATTCGTTTTATAGTTTCATTTTATTTGTTTACTTTGGCGTATTGCCATTTGGGGTGGCTGTAGCTCAGGTGGCAGAGCGGATCAGCCACTAACCAGAAGGTCGGTGGTTCAATCCCAGGCTGCTCCAGTCTGCATGCCAAATATCCTTGGGCAAGATACTAACCCCATGTTGCTCTCCGATGCATCCATCGGAGTGTGAATGTGTATGAATGTTAGATACTTAGCACTTAAGCTTAGAAGTGCTTGTGTGAATGAGTGTGATTGGGTGAATGAATTAGCTGTATAAAGCGCTTTGAGTGCTCGGACAGAGTAGAAAAGCGCTATATAAGAACCAGTCCATTTACTTTATTTGTGTATATGTTTTATTTTGCTATATTAATGTAAGGTGACCCTGAAGGGGTCTTTAAAGGTTTCTATAAATAAAATGTATTATTATTATCAAGCTAATAAATCAATTAAAGCTGCACAGCATGAACATACGGCCCAAAGGGAAACTTAAAGAGACGCTTACTTCTTTAAGGGAAACCACCCCGATAAGGCGTCCAATGCTGGTGACGTAGGCGTGGTCGAGGCCAAGCAGGGAGAAGATGGTGTGGGTCTGCAGGAAAAAAAAACACAGGTGGAGCATTGTTAGTAGAAACCAGCTCTGCTGGCATCTTACTCAAAATAGAATATGAAGCTCAGTTTGGGGAACGCACCACTGTTGACAATTATCCAACAATAATACCTGCATTCACACCGGATTCATTCAACTACTCAAATGTTCAGCTAAGTGGGATATTATCACTTTGGGAAATATAGGAGGGGGGCATGAGATGCTTAAAAATGGAAGTGGTAAAAACCTGCTTGTATCATAAGAACTAAGTAGTATCTGATGAAAACAACAGGAGGGAACAGATTAGACTGTAGATGGAAAATTCTTTATTAACTTGACTACAGAGCTATCAGGAAAGGTTCAAGGCAATGGTTTGGTCCAAGGTACACGTGTCCCAGTACCACATTCCTCTTGATTTGCAGTGGTTACAGCTGTACGCAACTGAGCAGTAGATGCAAACGTGTTTTACAAACTTCACAGAAGTTTGCATACAACCTTTGCCATCATAACCTTTGTGGAGAGCTCAAAATATTCTTAGCAATTTTCCCCCTTGAGAGCCAGGGGAGACCAATGCAGATCTATAAGGAGAGGATTTTATCAGACACGGCTCCCATGCTGAAGTTTGTAGTCTAGAACACGGATCTCTTAATTACTGAAAGTTGATTCAATAGTTGATTTTCAAACTTAAGTTTTTTTCTTGCACATTTGAGTTTAAGTCAAAATTTTGAGATGCTCAGATGAAAAATCTTAAGATAACATCCCAAAACGTTGACTTATGGATGTCAAAAAATGTTGTTTTTGTCAGTTGTGGAAACAAGCTTCCATAAATGATAGCTAATGGGTACAAACTGGTTGGACATTTTCTCTCTGTATCATTTATTGTTAGCACCTTGAGGTAACCATTGTTGTGTTATGGCACTATATAAATAAAACTGAATCGAAGTTATGATGCAG